AAATTAAACTTTCGAATCCTAGTAGCGTACGACGCCGGCTCTCACGATAAATAAAAGCGTTGGAAAAAACCGTTCCGCATGCAGGACACATGCAGGAATTTATTCCTGCAATTTTAACAGTGGTCTATTTATAAATGCCGTACACAGAACTAGTATTCGGTACTGACACGAGATAAAAAGTGGGCCGTTTCGGAAAGGGAATGCGGAAAACACCTTGAAGGCTCTTTTCTACGTGACTGCTAATTGTCAAAGGAGTTTCCGTCGATGGAGGTATTTTTTCTTGATGTATCATGTGGCAATTCTGTTGCAACAGCATTTGACTCTGTATCCGTAGACTTTTAATTGTTTTTGATGTTTCAAATAACGCATTACTTTGCTCGAAATCATGAATGGATAGTCATATAACAATCGTTGACCAAGGGAGTTGAGTTTCTGGAAAACAAGATGTCAGATCGTTCGAAAAGACTCTCTTATCTTCGCAATAAAAATGAACGTGAAAGCTACTTTGAACTTGGCTGACTAAGTCGACAACAATTTATCAACAAACTTTCAGAAATGAGAAACTTCATTGTTATATTCAAACGTCTGTGAGTGAAATTATTTAACAACATAACAATGAATTAGTGCAGTAGGTCCTTTTCTATTGAAATAACTTGAAAGGATCCTAATATGCTTACTCTTCAGGTTTACACTCTGACTTGACGCCAGAGTCTCAATGTGTCTACCTAGGTCTCGTTACTCCCATTCCAATCAGTAACTTTGTAGTCACTCATCCGTTCGATATTGAATGAAATGTGTCTAGGGTCTGAACGAAAAAGTTGAGAAGATACAGCCCAGAACAGTTTATTGCAGCTCAAAGAGTATGAACCGATTGTTGAATCTAATGCCTCTTGCAAATTTCTGTCGATAAAATTTGGTTACAGATAGCCCTTTTTTCAGTATATGATCACAGAGTAACTTACCTCTGTAGTTTGAAGTATGGTGTCAATTGGCGTCACATCCTATTAAAATTTGAGCTTTTTTTGTTATAGTCAATGAGTTGGCGCACAGCCAGAGGACACACTGTATTTGAACCTTCCAGGAAGTAAGCAAAGCAGGCAATGATATTCCTCCTACCGTTCTTGTACGATAGGAAAACTTGGATGGCTACCCCATCTTGGGTGCAAAAGCCTGTAAGCCAAAAATAATTGATGTTTTCCTGATGACTAGACAGGCTCTGAGGATCACACTAGGACACAAATTGTCCACAGGAATATTGCTCAGGATTGAGTGAAAATACCTGTCATCACTGCTTTTTCACATCCTCCTGACGGGACGAATTTTACCCTCGTTGATGAAGAACCAAGTCTAGATGTTTCGGAGTCAGCTGTCTTCGTTTTCTGGGAAGCAGCCCAAAATATGCTGCGTGGTGGTTTGGTAGCTCTCATCCCCATAGGTTAAATTCCACTTAGTCCCGTTTTGTTAGCTACATTGCTTTCCTTGGAGTGGTCCTGTTGATCAGCTACTTGCTAAAAGGATACCCAAAATGTGGTCTGAACCCATCTTTCCTAACAGTCGTACATCTATCATCGACTGTGAAGGTCGATGTTCAACTGAATTTTTTTTCTGGAAAACATCCATTAGCAAATTAATAGAATCTTGTTCATTTTCTATAATGTAGTGAGAATTTGATCAGCGATCAATTGCGACTGCCTCCGATAGGTGGGTAAATGGCACAGTTGTGTGGCTTATCAAGTTTGCTTCTGTATCACATTCCAATGGAGCACCTCCAATGGCCGTAGGGTATCTCTGGTATCTGTAGAGTAAGGAGGGTGAGTGTAGATTCACAGCACTTAGACAACATGTGACCCATTGTACATCCTCCCGAAGATTTGTCCTCCTAGGTCATCGTCCATCCTGTCCTTTCCAGGAAGGTGAACAAATCACTAGGAAACATCTCCTTCATATTGGCAGGTGTAGGCCAAGACTCGCCGAACACACACTCTCTTTGACAACCTTGAGGTGTCTCACGGTGGCCTCCGCGAAGGTTTTGGTAGGTGCATCGATATTACTGTCGTTGCGCGGCTTCTTCAACTTTTTTGGGGTTGTATACCTCCGTGGAGGTGCACAAATGTGGTAGTTTTCATGCAGGGGCAGCCGGTTCCTTGACTTCATTCAAGGCGGAGCTCTTGGCTCTCGGCGCAGGAAGTGCCCTTGCTGTTTGAGGTGATCTGCAATGTCCAGCGTAATTCCAAGCGGCAGATTGGGTTGGACATTTCTGTTCATCCCCAGCCACCGCCTTAGATTGAGGTGAGCACTTCTGTCCAGCCTCGGGATTGGTTTTTGTTTTTGTTGTTTCTGTTTTTGTGTTGTTTCATTCATGTGTGTTTCCACGAGTAGCAAGGGAAGAGTTGGTCACCTCTGGCAGAGCCCCGCATTAGCAGAGGTAGGCTGACTACAATGAGGTTTCGCCCAGTTCCCCAAGGGGGTCATTCGTGACCGTATATCACGCTGCGGCAATTCAGCTGTCGGCACGATTCCTTACACCTCAGCTTCGGTAGGCTGAGGTGTGAGGTGCCATGTTTTGCAAAGGCTTTCGGGGGGTTTCAGTTCCCCTCACCCTACTTATTTCTGCTACTGCCCAGGAGTCCGTAAGACCACATTTGACCGTAGTAGGCATCCATGGCAGTTGAAAAATCGATAATGTGGTAGTCGGATATTCAAGGTGCACATTTTTTCACTAATACCTGCAGATGTCTTTCCGTATGAAGGGTTTTGCATATCAACTGATCTTGACGATACATTGAATGCAGTTGTTCACAGCACTTTCATATCTGGTTTGAAAAATCATCATTTGACCGTAAGCTTTTGCTAACGTGCTCAGGGGAATCTTGTTTCCTCTGTTCATGCAGATTCTACTGGTGCTGCCCAATAACTGAATGCAAGTTGGGTTCGTAGAGTGTCCCACTCTTGATGAGGTTACTGAGTTCTTTCCTTAGGCTTACCTATTGGATCATAAGTTGGAGAGACTAGAAATCCTCACTTTTGATCCGATATCACAGGTAGGTCAGTTGGAATCGTTATTTCATGCTGTTTCTTCAGTTTGTATGTTTTTCTAAATCTTTATTTGCTGACATGCTCAGGAGGAGTTACTTTATTCTCCTTATGCAGATGTCTTTATGCGATGGACCCTGCTGGTTATTATGTATATTACTCCCCTACAGAGGAGATTGATGTCATGCTTACGACTTCAACTGACCTCCCTGTAAATTTAGATCAGGAGCGAGAGCATCTCAAATCTCCAACTCCTGATCCAATAACTGAACCTTAAATAAAGGTTTGGAGGTGCAGCCAGAAAACGACTGGGTCGTCTCCTCAAGAGCGGGGTATCTTATGAGCGGCGTATGCAGAATCTGTCTTAATTGGAGGAACAAACCCCCCATGAGCAGGTTAGCAACTGTTTGCGCTCAAGGGATGATTCACCAAAACCAGAGGCGAAAAAGCCCTGCACGGTTGAATCTAAGGCTTCGTCAGGTGTAGCTGACGTGCAAAAACCCTCATATGGAAAGGTTATCGGGGGTATCAAGGTGGCAATCTTGCATCTTCACTATCCGACTACCTCATCAATGATGAAATAGCAGAGCATATACTTTGTGCCTGCCCCGCTGGGGGCCAAATCAGGTTTTCAAAGTTTGGCAGAGCCGTACTCTTACCATCTGACCTGAAAGACCACTCACCATACAAACTCATCGGCTTCATTAAGATGAATGTGAATAGGTATGAGCCACAATAAACCCTTGTGGGTTGCGGTGGAGGGTCGAATAGACCCACTCATTTTGGACCTAACCTAACCCAACCTTATGCAGATTCTACTGGTACTACTCAATTATTGGATGCAAGGTGGTTTCTCAGAGTAATCCGCACTTGAGAAAGTGACTAAGGTCTTCTGTAGCTGCATCACTGAACCTTTTCTCAGGTTTACTTACTGGATTATGAGTTGGAGAGATTACAAGTTCTCACTGGAATCGATTTATCATGCTGCTCCTTCGATTTTCATGATTTTCAATATTTTTCGAATGTACTTAGGTTAATCAAAAAGTTATTTGATTTTATCCTGTATGTGTTTCGTATTGATCCCAAAATGTCATCTTCGAAATGATTAAAAGAAAATGACAATTGAAGCTACTTCAATTCAAAACTTTTTCAACTAGACTCCTTCATTGAACTTTCAGAATCAGGTAACTTTATCGTTAAATTTATACGATTGAGGGTGAAAGATTCCATTCTGCTGCTAGGGTCGACAACAAATTTCTTACAGAATCGACTCAGATTTCTTTGCAAACGACTTGCTTTCGAATCACAGTTCCCAAACTCATTATTAAAATACCTGCTGCTCTGGTATTCACGATTGACACCCTCAAAAAATCGCAACCGTTTGACGAGAATACGAAAATTCCCTCAGGCAATGTTGTCCGGGATAATGAAAAACTTCGGGAAGTTCTTCGGAAAATTATGGAGTTGTAACTTTTATATTAGTTGGAGTTGGGCTGAATTATTCGAGTTTTTTTGTTGTTTGAGTGTTCATTACCACACTTCTTTGGTGTGCGGAGGAATTATTAGTTTTAGCTTTGAAGCTACCGCGAAAAATGATGATACCACCTCATTTTATTTTTAGTCGTCGACTGTGATTAATTGCACCTCGAGTTTTGATCCAAATCTGAGAAGTATGACCTCACTGCTAGTTTCTTCAAGATTGAATTATGATGAATTGAATCCCACATCCATTCGGAATATTTGACACAAACACTTTCTCCGAACACCAGAACTTCAACACTCCTCTCGACGCACTTTTCACCAACCAAATTGGAGTCTTCAGACGATAGAGAAGACTGATTTTGAATCTTATGCTATTCTGTTGAGAGCCAAACACCATAATTGAAATATTTATATCACTGTTTCACTTGGATCAGTCTTCAATAATTTTTATCAAATTCAATACTGATGTGATGTTTTCTTTGCAGGTTGCAACACACAGCGATAAGGAAAAAAGAAAATGATGGTGGCTGAACTTTAAAACCGGACTGCGGTGTGTTGATAATTTGAAACGAGATTTTCCATCTAGAACTGAATAATATTTGTTGGATTCGTTCGGGTAGGGAAGTGTTTGAAAACTGGGGTGCAAACTGATAGTTGATGAATATTGGTGACCTGTCGTCACTTTTATTCCAATTAATCACACAAATTAAAAATTACAATGAATAGCTGAAATATCAATTATATTCGGCAAAAAAACGTAGAATAAAAATATAATGAAACGAATGGAATGATCAACATGCAAAATGACCACAGAGTGAAACGAAGATGAAGATGAGAACCTACCAATGAGATCGCAACTTTTAGCAGTTGAAGCCAACATATATATGTATTGGTTTGAAACTCTGGACATTGAAGAAGCCCAGAAAAAGCCTTCAGTCTGGTAGAGGTATGTTGCCGACACCTCCATAGTATTGGACCATGGGAATACAGACCTAGACACCTTTCTGGAGCACATCAACAGCGTGAAACCTTTCATCACTTTTCCAATGGAGAAGGAAGTCTACAACGAATTGCCATTTTCAAGAAGTATTAGCGAAAAAGAACAAAACAAGGTGGGAAACCGTTGTATACCAAAAACCAACTCACACGGGACAGTATCTGAACCACGAATCCAACCACCATCAATCTACCAAAAGAGTAATACGATTGAAGGTCTCGAGAAGAAACTAGGCATCATCAAACAAGTTACAACGGAAGAGTTACTCCAAAGGAAGTAGCAAGGAAGAGAAGCCGTCACAACCAGTGCTGGTACTTGCCTACGGAAAGGATAAAAATAATTAGGTTCAAGTACAACATCAGAACCTGCTTCAGATCCGGATACACCTTCCGTAGAAGCCTCACGCAAACCAGGCAACCAAACGTGGACTGCGATTCCAAGAATTGCATTTACCGGATACCCTGTCAGTGCGGCAAACCCTATTTGCAGAGCACAAGAAAAACATATTTGATTGACGACTTGTTTATTTTGCGGAAATTTATGTTCACTTAGTATACACTATAAAAACACACTTTTGTCTATTTCATACCAATTTCAAATGGTGTAATGACCGAAAATAGTAAACAAATGTAAAACTATCGTGGAAAATAGACAAAGGGAATAGCAGAGCATATTTGTACTCATCGACATAGCACCAAGTGTCCCCAAGCTGAGATCATCCAGAGGGAGGAACACTGGTTTGAGAGAAAGTTCAAAGAAGCTGCCTATATGTTGTCCAACGACGCATTCAACCAAACTAGCGTAGACATACGCAACATCTGGAACAAATGTAAAACTATCGTGGAAAATAGACAAAGGGAATAGCAGAGCATATTTGTACTCATCGACAAAGCACCAAGTGTCCCCAAGCTGAGATCATCCAGAGGAAGGAACACTGGTTTGAAAGAAAGTTCAAAGAAGCTGCCTATGTCCAACGACGCATTCAACCAAACTAGCGTAGACATACGCAACATCTGGAAACCTGTGATAGCGGAAAACGATCAACTCCCGACAAACGGTCAACTCCCGCTGAATCAATGAAGCGGTGAGAGGGAGAGAGAGAAAAGAAAGCGCTCGAATAGCTCATAAAGAGTTAACTTTCGGAGGAATAGTCCAGTCATCATCTAAAGACGATTGTGGTTACTAACAATTGAAACGTCTTGAAGTTACTTGGATTGAAATATTTCAAAATTTCTACAGCTTATTTAAATTCTTATTTTTTTCAAATTTTCTGCCAATTTTTATGTTTTTTTTTTATTCTGTGGTCGTTTTGTATTTTAATTATGTCATTCGTTTCATTGTATTCTCATATCACGGTTTTTTTACTTGATATAATTGATATTTCCGCTATTCATTCGTATTTCTTTCGTTGTTTCTCATATTTCGAATCATAGCAGGAAAATATTAGACAATGGAAGTTCGAGCTGATAAAATTCTATTTTCTACAGTCAAAACAGACCATTTCAGATAGCTCTCTACAATAATACATTCCAGAATACCTAACCCATATTTTAATTTTTGTTTCTGACACGAAATGCAAATAAATTAATCTTTAAATATCTTTATCGAAAACTGTAGCAGTTGGCATTAATGATTTGAAAACAATAACAAGAAAACTAGTTTCATTGATGTGTTGTATTGACAAACTTCGTTCAAGTCAGTAACAATTTCAGTCCATTTCTATTTCGCAAAAACAAAGCATTTCCATGAAAAATATTTCCACCCACTAAAATACTAACCAAAGACCACTAAATCATAATTAACTGCACTGTAACTAGAGCAATTGTAAATTGTTGAAACATTTTTACAACATCGCAGTCACAGTTCATATCGTTTGATTACGACTCCAATTTTCATTGCTCTCATAAACTATCGGTTAGGCACCCCATAATTTCACTCGAATTTCCCAACAGAAATATCGTGCAGCAACAAATCCGCCCCTGAAAGTGACATTACAAACACGCCAAATGAGCGCCCGAATCAGTGAAAACTAGGTCTTGCTCTAAATTGAAGTTAATCGATCCATCACAATGCAACACCATCCAGGGTCATGGTATCTTCCTTGGGGTGTCCCCTTCCAGAAAATGGTCGCCCTGCCGATCCCTGCGACTCATTTGCACATGCAAACCCCCACCATGCACGTCCAGGCAATGCTGGGGGGTTTGCCGACACCTCTGGCCACGCTGAGGACGTTCATGACGCAGCCGACACAACAACAACAGAGGAAGGTGAGGAATATGTTGTTAGTTGTCTTGATATTCGTTTGTCTGATTTGTACAGAATAATCGATGCACGTGTTAAATAGAACAAAATGAAAATTATTAGTTACTCTTTGTAGAGATTGGGTCAAATTGAACACTTTCAAACTAGATAGATGCAAACTGATAGCTTTGTCTGAGGACCAAATTTTATGACAAACTCAAAGGTGAAAACCGCATATCGATATCTATATGATCGATTCTGATTTACAGCATATTTTTTGAAAATGTGTATTTTCGATAAGTTGCTGTAACTTTTTTCTTGTCGAAAATTTCTTGTTTCTATGTATATATTTCCAAAGCACTTTTTATGCAGAATTCAATGGTGTAAAAAACTAATTTTTTAAAATGAGATACCAATAGTTATTGATGGAAAACCAACTTTCAATGAGACATCCTGTATATTCCTGCATATTACAATAGAGCTCAAAATCACCTTTCCAAAAATGTAGAACACTTGATGTTTTGCTAGAGCTGAAATGCAGAGCTTTTAATTTTTTTCATGTAGTCTTTGTAAAGCACATTTTGATTCTTCAATTAGTGGTTTTTGTTCAATTTTCAAACACATTCGCGATAAAGTATGAGGATTATGAAAAACGGAATATGATTGTCTGTTTTATACAAATTGGGGAAAATGCAGAAGCAGCAAGCAATTTGAATCACGAGAAGTATCCAGAGAGAAGACAAGCTTTCAGAGAGCTTTTGGCAAGCTTATGGCAGAACTGATTGATGGTGGTCGATTTGAAAAGAAAATACCAAAATTATATGCGTCATATAGGGAAAGAGTTGAAAAAAAATATTCGTTTTAGGAGCTGTTGAAAATCCCGAAAAGTCAATGTGAAATTTGATATTATCAACAGGCCTACCAAGAACAGACCAGGAGATTATGAAGGCCGCATGGCTTTTTGCCAGTGGTTCCTGGAAAGTTGTAACCAATTACGTGATTTCTCGTTAGATTTTATTTGGACAGACGGAGCTCATGAGAGCAGTGCGGGTATTTTCAACCGCTTCAATTCTTATTCTCCGGAACAACAAAATTCTCTTTCTGTCGTGGAACAGAGAAGTCCAGAGAAGTTCAACAATACGGGGGTTCGCCTCACTACATTGCAATTGTCAACATTTTTTTCGCTGCTTTTTTGGTAATAATTGGATAGCCAACTGAGGACCCAACCATTGGCCGGCCAGGTCACCAGACCGAACGCCTGTGGACCTGTGGATCAAATTGAAAGTATGAGTTTTAATTGCTGCTGTGAAAATCTTTCTCAAAATTTGACAGCTACTAGTGAACAATTTCTTTCTGTTTTATCGCCGCGTCGTCCAAAACCTACTTCATCAAAATGTGTGTTTTAAAGTCTACATGAAAAAACTCAAAACCTCTGTATTTCAAAGAAAACTTTAGCAAAACATCAAGTGTGCTACATTTTTTTAAAGGTAATTTCAAGCTGTATTAAAATATGCAGGAATATACAGGGTGTATCATTGAAAAATATAGTTTTCCATCAATAACTATTGATATATCATTCGAAAGAAGTTGTTTACTATTGAGTTACCATTTTTACCATTGAATTCTACGTGAAAAAGTGCTCTGGAAAACAAGAAATTTTTGACAGGAAAAAAATTACAGCAACTTTTCGAAAATGCACATTTTCGTTTACCCTGATTGGATTACCTGACCTTGTTCGTATACAATTGAAAACAGGTAGCTAGATTTAAGTGATGCTCATTGGCTCTTTTTTTTAATGGAAATTATCCTTGTGATTCTGAATTTCTATTGCCTTTCTATATGGGGTGGGCAGGAAAGTTTGTATGTTAACACACAGATGATGCTACTAGTATTAAATCCATATGAGTTTCATTCAAACCTAACCTGCAAAAGACAAAACAAATTTCATAGATGTTGGACTATTAGTTTGTGGAATAAAACATTTTGAGTGAAAAAATATTTGTTAGTTTGTAGAAAAAGTGGTTTGGTGTGTTTGAACGAGGTAGAATTGAGCCCCGATGACGATCGATGTACGCAGTGGATACCCCAAAGAGGCTGTTACCAAATATAACATAGAGAAAGTCCACAAAATAATTACGGATGACCGCAAAGTGAAGTTGATCGAGGTAGCTGAGGCTCTAGAGATATCAAAGGAATGTGCTGGACATTCCGTGCATGAATATTTGGGTGTGTGAAAGCTCTGAAAAAAATAGGAGATTCTGAGCAGTGTTTGAAGCTGTGCCACCATATCAAACTCGAATATCTGCGTCGATATGTGGCAATGGATCAAACATGGCTCTATTTTCTCACACCAGAATCAAAATGATCGTAGTCTGAGTGGATTGAACGTGGTGAATGGATTCCAAAGCATGCAAAGCAGTCGCTGGCAAGGTTATGGTATCACTATTTGCGGTTGCGCGTGGTATAATATTAATAGACTACCCTGAAAAGGAAAAACCATCGGCAACGACTATTGCCTAGCGTTATTGGAGCGTTCGAAGGACGAAATAGTCGAATGAGATGATCTGACTGCCCTCTTTGAGAGCATATTTGGCTGGCTATAGCTGATTTGTCGGTTTTCTCGAGAATTGTTGTTCTGGGGTCCTT